CCATAGAGAAAAAAATAGGATGAAAAGTCATACCAGTTGACAAACTGTACCTTTTTCTTTCCCCTTAGATTTGGCTTTCGTAGATGAATTTGACATTTTTTCATCCTTTAATAAAAAAAAAACAATGCATATAATGTAAGAAAACACTAATAAAAAATGTTGCAGTATGTTGTTTAAGCTATTGCCACTTCAAAATTTACCAAACTTATTTCAAAGAATATTACGTTCAAACCAATTGAACATTTAAAAAATCCAAACTATAACATTCAAAACAATTTAACATCCAACCTAATCTATGTTGCCAATCCACCTTTAAAGCCTTAGATAGCAATGATTGGCAGCCCATCGACGAAGTATAGAACCTTAGCTACCCACAACAACATTCATAATCGAATAATGAGGAAGACATTATATTTTCAGACAAAATACTCATTGCCGAACAACATTCAATCAATAGAGAATTACAATGCAAAAATGAAAAGGCATTGTACTTATGTTTGAGTAGATTGGAGTGCACCCAAATTGTAAAATGTCTTTTCATTAGAAAAAAGCTTCAAATTTTTCTAATGAAAAAGCATTTTTCAAATGAAAAGGCATTGCCTTAATGCAAGAATTACATTTAATCAATAGAGAATTAAATTCATCAAGTTTCACGTGCAAACAAATTGGAAAAAGGTAGTTAAATAAGTTGAATTGCTTTAAGAGCAACAATTTGTGAATACAGACAACTTCAAACTATTCATCATGGTCATGTTCTCATCCAAAGCTTAACGATTACACCTGGGCTGGGCTGATTAATCAAAGATCCAAAGCGTAAACAATTACACTCTATTTATTTAAACAAAGAAGATTAATCAAAGACCCAAAGCTTCAACAGACAAAGAAGAAAGAAGATAAAGAAGATAAAAGAAGAAGAAGAAACCCCCATTGCACCTAGTAGCTTACCTCCTCTTAAGAAGCAAGTGACTCGAGTGAAGCAAGCTATGCGTATGCAATGTAACACTAAAATTAAGTGATTTATGGGTATGGCTCATTCTGCTTCCAATCCCAGAAAAAGAGTTGTGCAAAAAGGAAAATTTAAAGAATATGGACACAAAATCAACAAAGGCAACCACAAAAATAGTAGCAACACTATGCCTGAACCGAATTTAGGGGCCTATGGTGGGATATGCAGTGGTGGATTTTGTTTGGGGGGATGGGGAGCAAGGAGTCAGATAGAAGAGGAAGAGGAAGAAAGAGATAGATGGGGTCGTTTGGCATTGGCGATGGGCAATGACATGGTGAGGCAGTAAAATAGAAAGTAAGGGGAGATGAATTAACACCCAATTTCAAAACCCTAAATTAACACCCAATTCAAAACCCTAGATTAACTAATTGGGTGTGCCGTGATGTATGTGTGTGCATATCCTGGGTGGGTGGGTGGGGTTGTGTTCAACTCTGTGTGTGTGACTGTGTGTGCGTGTGTAGAGAGGGAGGTGAGAAAGAGAGAGGAGAGAGAGCAGAGCAGAGTTTACCTGGGTCGGTAGGGGGTGGTCGGTGAAGGTTGAGAGGGAAGAGAGAGGTCGCAAAGGAGCAGACTGGCAGCGAGGAGAAGAAGAAGAGGGACGTTGGGCTTTGGGGAGTTGTGTCTGACAATTGAGTTAGGCACTGTAAAGGTTTGGGCGGGATAAATTTTTTGTGGAATTATTGTCAGCCTTTGGATTAACTTGGAATAATGGAGATAAAACCTAGGCCATTAAATTAAAAGTAGATTAAATCTGAGTCGTCTTTGTGCTTTCCCAAATAAATTAAAATTGGATTAAATTTTGAAGTAAAAATGGATTCAAATTGGGTTCTATCTTATTAGTATTAGTATAGATGAAAGAACATGGGACCATTTAATTGGGTACAGAAACTACAATATATTGTAATGAACCATTCTATTGTAATTATGAAATTCTTTCATACATTTTTTATGAGTTCTTTTGCACTGAGTCAAAGATAAATTCCACCTAAAGTAATTATATAGGTACTTAGTAAAAAAGATGATCTCTTAGTCCGGCACACCCACTGGGATGAAAAACTATTATGACCATGCTGCACTAAATAATGGTAAAAATCTATAGCTACACCCACACACAGAATTGTATACACACTTAAAAAAAAACATATCAAACCAACATTATGTATGCAAAATCCAGTCCCCAAAAGGTACCATTACTTCATCAAAAGATTGGGACCCCTCCCACTCATCTAATACAATCCAAAAGTGAAAAGATTATAATAAAGTAAACATTTTTGCAATTGATCGAGTAAATAAGCAAAAATGTAGACCTTGTTTTATGGGGTTTGTGGGTACTGTTCTTTTCTGGGTATTCTTGTTTTAGGAATACCATCATATCTCTCAGCTTCCACTTAAATGGTCCCATGATCAGAAAAGCCAAAAAACAAACTACGCAGTTGATGGAATTACAAAGCCAAAATATCAATGAATCAAATAACTATCAGTGCTTTAATGGAATTATTCGTGAATAGCAGATGGAAGAAACTGTTCAGGAAAAAAAAAAAAGATCATCAAATTTCAAACTACTATTCACGAAACTGTTCAGGAAAAAAAAAGATCATCAACTTAAAAAAACCCATTAATTTGAAATAATTTTTTCATTTGTTTTAATGAAAGAAATTGAAATCAATCTAACCCTTGTTATTTTTTCAAAAAATTTCAACAAAATTTCCTTTTAAAATAAGAATTCGAAAAAATCTCAACCTATCTACATTGCTAATATATCTCGTCGTATATATCACTGTCAAACACAAATCATTGCATTGTCCAACACAAACTATTGCACTCCAATCTCAAGAAAAAATTACTCAACCTAACCCAAAAATATCATCATATTTTAATCACTACCCAATCTAAACCAAAATAACATTTATCTCTTAATAACTAATGTCACAGTCACATGTTATATATGCAAGTCCAACCAAAGATTGACTCATAGCTGAAGATATTATGTAATACAAAAAATTTCTATTTTGAAATAAGTTGAAGAAAGCTTAATTTAAGCTTATAAAGCTAAAAGAAATAATGCATATCAAATAGAAAAAATTACAAAATTCAAACAAAATATGCATAATTAAGTTGAGCAAGTAAACAAAAAAATCATTACTATTTGATAATAATAATAATAATAAAACTGTGCTTAAAGACACATTGCAATTTAAACAAATCTTTCAAATTGAAATAATTTTTCCTTTATTTAATTTATTAAGGAAAATAAAATCAATATAACCCTTTTGACAAAATTTTCTCTAAAAATAGAAACTTAGAAAAATCTCAACCTGTCTACACTAACATCAATTGTAACACTGCCCAATAGAAATTATTGTATAAATTATTCAACGTAATTCAAAGAGAACATCAAACTTTAATCACAACATAAATCAAATCTAAATAACAAAAGTCAGAATCACGTGTTATAAATGCAAGTCCAACCAAAGAATGAAATCTACATAAATAAGAATCATTTGGTTTGAACATTCCATATTTTGAAGCATCGGTGAATAATAAAATTGCAACCCTTGGCAATAGAACAAAACCATGTCAAAGAATTAACATTTAACATTTTTCCGAACACAAAATCAAAATCAAAACAATATGTATGGTAAGATATCTAGAGAGAACTGTTGATTCTTTTTCAGCCTTCCATGAGTCAGGGAAACAACAATCTATAATACATGAAACAATGTAGACCACCGGCAATGCCCCAAAATCATGTATTTAAAGAAAACATGCCCCAAATCAATTATAGAACTCACATAATAATTGATTCCACACCTTTAACCTTTAATTTCAATCTTTGTTGTACAAATCACTACCCTTGAACATATAGAAAAAAAAGAAAAGAAAAGAAAGAAATGGCCTTCAAATTTTGAATGAGAAGAAAAATTAACTCATCATAAACAACATAATTAAAAAATTCTATTGTAAAAAGCCCAATGCAATATTAAACGACTTAATGAAACATACCTCAACATTTTGTAACTCCTTAAACCACCAACAAAGTATATCCAAAAATGATTCCACTGTTCTTGCATCACTTACATGCCCAAAGACAACCAAAAGTTGTCACAACAACATCATTGTGCCATTAAATACGTATGAAAATTAACTTCTTTTAAGAACAAATAACTTTTGAAATATTAATTCAAAGGTAATGAATGATCATTCATGCAAAGATTCTAGGCCCACAAATTTATATAGTATCTCAGTTGGTTACTAAATAATAGACTACAACTATTCAAAAATCAATGTGGGAAGATATGACCCATGCAAATGGGGGACTGATTCAATTTTTAGATAATGAAAAATATAAGTAATTTCAGGGATGTGTAAATCACCCCAACATATTCTATGAATGGCCAACACTTTTCTTTTATAGGTCTCCCAATCTCTGCTGGCTACTTTAATGGGCTAGGAAAAAAGCATTTTGCAATATTGAAAACACAATACACTCTAGAACAAAACCAAAAGATCATCAAACAAAGATCTCTGATAACCCATTCCTGAATCAATTTCACAAAAAACCATTTCAAACATTTCAAACTATATGATAACCCATTCCAAAAAAATGATAACCCATTTCAAACTATGATCTCAACTGATTTGGGTTCCTGAATCAGTTATCAAAAAAATGATAACCCATTCCAAAAAACCATTTCAAACTATCATCAAATTTCACAAAAGAATCGCAAAATCTCACAAAAGATTAACCCATTTACAACCCAAATCAGTTGCGATCGAATAAGTTTCGTGTAAAGACTTGCACATTTGGGGAGGCCTAGAAATGATGTGGGTTCAGCCTTCCTTCATCCCTCCTTCTTCTTTTTTTTTTTTTCAAATGTCTCCCTCCTCCCTTGCTCTGCTTCTCTTCTTTTGCCGCCACCTCCTGTTTTGGAAGAGGTCTTGAAGGGAGGGTTATGGGGAAGACAGAAAAGGGTTTGAGAGAGGATAGGGTTTATCAAGGGTTGGTGACGGTGGCAGTGGCTATGGCCATGGTTGCTATTGGGTTGTGAGGAATACAACCGACGTGGGTTGTGATGAAAAGCCGAAGAGCCGAAGAGCCGAAAAGCCGACGTGGCTCACCAATGGGTTTTGCAGCGGCTCTCCCATGTTTCCTCCCTCTCTTTTGTCGGCGGAAGCCATTCACAGCCACATCGTAATCACCCCAATTCTCTCCCTCTCTGTCCAGCCACACCTTAACGGCCACTTCACGAAATCAACCACAAACACTGATCGGCGTATGATCACCCATATTGCCACACACCCACCCACCACCAACACACACCCCCACACCAAAGTGGGAATTCGGTTTGACACCGTGGTTTGATGTGAATGTTGTGAATTCGGTTCGACACAGTGTTTGAGGGTTCAATGAACCATAACTACTATAGCTTCGACGAAATTTCTCAAAGAGCTCCAAGCATCAAAGGTTCGAATGATGGGTTTGAGTGATACTGCTGTAACTGGAAGGTAATTGATTTTTTAATGGTACTTTGTTTTCTTAGTCTACTAGAACATGTATCTCACTTTTTCAAGACTTTTAACACTGCCTGGCTTTTGTGTTCATGAGCCATGGCAGAGGAATCACAACGAAAGAGAGGGGGAGAGGGAGGTACCTGGGCTGAGCTTGGTGAGCCGTTGCTGTGTTGATTGCCGCTACATGCTGCCGCTGAGCCATGGCAGAGGAGTGAGAGGGGTGTGGGTAGTAGTGTAAGGGGTCTGGGTAGTGTTGAGCTGTAATACCCCACATGCGTTTAAAAAAAAAAATAAATAAAATAAAATAAAAGAAAATAAAAGACATAGGTGTTCAGTAATTATTTCATTTGAAATGATAAAATAGTATAACTCAAGGAAAGAGTAGTTAAAAGATTAGTTTCGGTATGAAAATGTACAAAATAAATCATAAAAGAACTTGAACTAATTAGGTCGATGTAGAAAAGTATGTAGGATAAGTTAGGATTAAAGTTGGAAGGATTGGAAGTGAAAAGGGGCGCCCAAATGGGCGCTGGGGCGCTGCTCCGGGTACATTGCCTACTCCGGACCAGTTGTCGTAGAATCGTCATAACTCTTGCTACAATGGTCCGATTGAGCTGAATTTTGACACAATGCAGAAGACATCTAGATCTACAACTTTCATGTTTTGCACTTTTTCAGATTCAAAGTTTATCATGATCAAAAATAAGGAAAACAGTAAGTCTGGAAAACCCCCAAAACAGACGATGAACAGTAAAAGTCGGGATTTTTGGGTTTTAAAACACCCATTCCAAGCCCTATTTCTCCCATTCTTCATTTCCCTTCCACTCTAAATACCTTAGAGCCCTAAGAGAAGAGAAAAGGGAGAGAAAAACACCAAGGTCAAGAGAGATTCCCACCTCATAAAGATCAAAACCGAATTTCTCAAGTTTTCTCTTCTCCACCCATTTCTTTTGCTTCTATTCCTCAACCACTCACACCCAAATCTCTAGAAACCCTAGGAGGACGAAATTAAGAGGAAAAGGAAGGAGAATAGGAAGATTTTGAATCTTGGGTCTTAGATTGAAGCTACAACCAAGAGGTAGGGGATTTCTTCCTAATTTCTTACATTGAGGCTAGGGTTTATGTATATACATATGTTTTCCACTCCCATCCATATTTATTTGATATGATTTGTATGATTCTTAATTCTCCTTGTAATAAATGCTATGTTTGAATAATGGGATGGTTTGGTAACCATTAAATTTCTCTTTTTCATCTTCCAAACTTGGTTTTAAGAAAAATTGAGTTTTCTCCATATATTGCCTTGGTTCTCACTTTATAAATTTAGTGTTCGATATTGTTCAACGAAAATGATCTTTATATTGATCTTTTGCTCATTTTAATTCCATCTTGCTATGACGCTTTACTTGTGAAATTTGGGTATTTTGCGATTAATTGGTAAAATGTGAATTGATTGAGAATATGTTGGTTTACTCATTGTATGGTGGTTGGGAGGGACTTGGATTACCTACGAGATATGCCGTAGAGTGTAAATGTCAGTTGAACCCAGTGGGGGGGGGAGATGGTTTCTTGCACTTGTAGTGAGTTGTCATTTGGTAATGCGACCACTATCGTACGCCTGGAGTTCGAACTAGGGTTGGTATACCATTCCTGGGGAGGGACTCGTCACTGCCATTGGGATGGTAGACGCCCCTTCCCTAAGTACTTGTGATTGTGATTATAAATGGGTGGACTAGGTATAATCGTTGGGTAGATTCATGAGAAACAATCAACATACATGGTACGGGGATGAACCAACATAAATGTGATGATTGGCTGGAATGGCTTGGCCGGTGCATTGGTATGGGACGATGCATCGGAGGGAGCCCCTCCTAATTGACTTAATGTTGGAAATGGTTTGCTATGGTTAAACTTAATTTATTTCTCTCCTTAACTACTGTATGGCTTAAACTTGAGATCTATTTAAAATGTCCCGTTTTACTTCAAATTCATATATGTTATTTATGAAATGTGACCGACCCGTTTTGTATTTTATAAACCTTGTTGGAGTTGGGAAGATTTTGCTACAGAGCCTAGTGCTCATCCCCTACTGTTAACATTTTTCAGACTATATCCTTGAGGAGGAGCCAGGAGTCGAGGAGCCCGTTCTTTGGGAGACTCCGATCGACGGGAGCGTAGATCCCGAGGTGGACGCCTAGAGCGGCCCTTCTATTTTGTTCTAGACTAGGCTATGTTTTTTTTGAAAGATTGTAAAGTCTAGTTATCTTTTGAAATTCCGCTGCTTATCATAGTTTAATTCTTTGGGAATGTACATGCCATTGTGGGCATATTTTTTTGGGTTAACATGTAAATTTGATGGATTGATTATATAGTAGTTAATTGGACCCGGTGTGGTCATTATAGTAGAATTGCACAGGTTGGATTTTGTGGTAGAGCTCCCCGTACAAAGGAGACTCTGCCCGAATTTTGTTAAAATATCAATGGTTGATGGATAAAAATTTCTTATTTATGGATTTATTTAGTGCTCTCATGATTGTGAAAGGTTTTAGAATGTAATGCCGTCCGAGGGGGTATTTGGGGCGTTACAAAGTTTGGTATCAGAGCCTAGGCTTTAGGTCTTACATGGGAGCTGTAGGTTATGGACTACCACTAGAGATGTAGGTTTAGGGTGCAGGAAATGGTTGAGTTAATTTTTGTATATGCCTTGTGCTTAAATCAAGACATCCTACATATCATTTTAGTATGTCTTGTACATCAATGAAACTAAATTGTGAATTGATGTGCAGGATGGACGGTGAACGTGTACGTGGACGTGGACGTGGGCGTGGCCGTGGCCGTGGAGGTCAAACATATCCACCACCACCACCACCTCCCGATGCCATGGATGGCATATACCAATGCTTGAGGGAGCTCACCACTTTGGTACAAAACCAAAATGGTAACAACAACCACCACAACCATAATGGTGGAGCACATCCTTTAGCCCAAGTACCGGGCAACGGAGAGGAGACTAGGAGAATGGTAGCTCTCCGAGAGTTTCTGAGGCAACACCCACCTACTTTCCAAGGGAGCTCCAATCCCTTGGATGCGGATAAATGGATCCGCCGTGTGAAGAAGATGTTGGACGGAATGGGAGTGGCCGAGGACTTGCGGGTTGGCTTGGCTATCTATTTGTTGGAGGGGGAAGCCGACCATTGGTGGGACTCGGTGAAAAGGAAAATGAACACGGATGCTCTCACTTGGGCGGAGTTTGATCAAGTCTTCCAAGACAAGTACTTCCCGGAATCGGTCCGAGATCGAATGAAGACCGATTTTCTTATTCTACGACAGGGCAGCCTGACTTTAGCTGAATACGAGAGGAAGTTTGATGAGCTATCCCGCTATGCTACGGAGTTCATATCTACGGAGGCCAACAGGGCCAAACGCTTTGAGCAGGGATTGAGGCCTGCCATTAGGGAGAAGCTGGTGGCTCTCAGGATCCGGGACTACGGGGATTTGGTGGACAGAGCTGCACTTGTAGAGAAGGACATGGAGGATACTCAGCGACGACAGGGCCTTATGAGGGGAGGTCCGATCCGGACGGGTGCTAGTAGCAGTGGAGCACAGAGGGCGGCACCCTACCGTCGCTCGGATCAGGCAGGGGGACAGAGACCCCAGATGGGTCGAGGAGCAGGAGGCGTATCGGGGAGGACAGCCACCGACCCCCGTCAGTGCTTCGCATGTGGAGGAGTGGGGCACTTCAGACACAATTGCCCATCTCTCCCACCGAGAGACAACCAGGTGACAAGACAAGTGGCTGCAAATAAGCCACTACAGCAGCAGAGGCCTGTAGGAGCTCCAGCCCCAGGTGGCGCCACTCAGGGGAGAGTCTTTGCCTTGACCCAACCGGAGGAGGATGCCTCCAACGCAGTTGTTGATGGTATAATTCTCCTCTATAATTCTTGGGCCCGAATCTTATTCGATCCCGGTGCTACTCATTCTTTTATACGTACTGCATATGCTATGAATTTGGGATTGGGTTTCGAGAAGTTAGAGCATGCCTTGACGGTTGACTTGCCTACGGGAGAACAGTTGGGTACTAGCCGAGTTTGCAAGGGTTGTGTGCTTCGTATTGGGGAGCACGAATTAATTGTGGACTTGATTGCTTTAGAAATGAAGGGGTATGATGTGATTTTCGGAATGGACTTGTTGTCCGCTTTCCGGGCGGTAATGGATTGTTTCCGCAAACGGATTACATTTCAGTTACCGGGAGGAGTCGTTTTCAGTTTTATTAATAACCGAGATTCTTCTCATCCATTCCCTACGACGGGTAGTAGATTCTTAAAAGCGAAAGCGGGAAGTCATTTGAGTTTCTTAGCTAGCTTAATGGGAGAAAACCGGGATAAAATTCATACGGATGTAGTGCAAATTGTATCGGAGTTTTCGGATGTTTTTCCCGAGGAATTACCCGGATTACCGCCACATAGGGAAATTGAGTTCAAGATCGAACTCTATCCTGGAACCGAACCTATGTCCATTGCTCCCTACCGGATGGCACCTTTGGAGTTGAAGGAGCTAAGGAAGCAATTGGATCACTTGTTAGCGATTGGGTTTATCCGTCTAAGCACTTCACCTTGGGGAGCCCCAGTCCTCTTTGTGAAGAAAACGGATGAGACCCTACGGTTGTGCACGGATTATCGGAGGTTGAATCGGGTTACCGTGAAGAATAAGTATCCGTTGCCGAGAATTGATGACTTATTTGATCAGTTGAAGGGTTCGAAGTATTACTCCAAGATTGATCTTCGCACGGGATATCATCAGCTGCGAATTAAGGAGGAGGATATTCCTAAGACTGCTTTCCGTACCCGTTATGGTCATTTCGAATATACGGTGATGCCGTTCGGATTGACTAACGCCCCCGCAGCATTCATGGATTTGATGCACAGAATCTTCCGGCCTTACCTCGATCAATTTGTCATTGTGTTCATTGATGACATATTGATCTACTCACAGACTCAGGAGGAACATGCTCGTCATCTCTCTATTGTGCTACAAACATTGAGAGAACATAAGCTATACGCGAAGATGAGCAAGTGTGAGTTTTGGATGAAGGAAGTGAAATTCCTTGGCCATGTTGTGTCCGAGCGCGGAGTAGCGGTTGATCCCGCCAAGATTGAGGCTGTGATGAAATGGGAACCACCGAAGAATGTAATGGAAGTACGG